ACCGTATGAGTTTTTGAGCGCTGAAAAGCATCCAAAATCGAGAGCTTGCAAAAGATGCGTTGAGTGTGGTGGATAGAAAAGCCAGATGATTGAATTCTTCTTGCAGAAGTCATCGAACTCTGAGTAAAATGGCTGCCGTGACCGTCAAGAAGGAGAAGTCGATACTTCCCGACCGCGCGACCGCGTGAGTGCTTGTCGAAGACCTCCGTCGACCACTTAAACCCAAGTTCGTTGTTCGTCCAGCCATTCTCACTGACACCAATGACCCAATTGGGCGGGATTCCTGTCCGGTACCAGGTCGATTGGTGGACTTTGCCTTCGAAGATGATCGTAGACGGCAAGGCCCAGCCAGTGACATTGACTCCTTCGATGACCGTTACCCAATTCCGATCTCCTGGTTGGACGACCTTTGGGCGACCTGACTTGGTACGAATCGCTGTTGGGTGCTTTGACGTCGACGGCTTTGTTTGTGTGACGACCTTGGCAGTTGCGATCACCCCATCTGAAATCCCGTTTCGTCAAAGTTGTAGATGTCCTCTGCTGCAATACCATATTTCGCAATTGTCGCTCGTACGAGGCTAAACCACTTGCCGATTTCCTCTGGGTCTTCGCATTACGCCCGTTGGTAGTCGTATTTTCGTAGGTATTTCGACATAAGTGCGTCGTGGCGCTGTACGAAGCGCGTGAGCCAGTTCTTCCCTACTGACGACCCAGGGGCGCGTTGTGAGAGGAGTAGATCGGCCATCCTTCGTACGAATGGAAGGGTCGGCGAAAACCCACGCCCATCGAGTGAAATAATCCGATTAAGGAGCGCCTGCTCTTCCGTTGCTGTCAATTTGCGATTGTTAATGTTGGAAGACGCTCGTAGTCTCTAGAAGGTTCTATGATCATGTCGACATTTGTCAGCTATGTCTATATAAGACCTAGCCTTCCACTCCTTCTGTAGCTAGAGATATCAATAGGATATGTTTCTTCGACACAAAGATGAGCTCTTTCAAGCTACGAAAGATTTTGATGCTTACATTCAACGAACAACTGGATATCAGGTCCAAGAATATGGCATGGACAATGATGTGTCTTTCAACTGGACAACAGAGTTGATACCCTGGGCCCGGGCAAACGGAATCAGTCTCAAACCGACCGTGCCTGGTACACCCAGACAGAATGGATTGACAGAGAGGGCTGGATCGAAGATCACACAGCTCGCTCGATGCATCATGATTCACTCCAAGCTTCCGGAATTCTTGTGGCCCTATGCTCAAGAATCCGTCGTCAAAGTTCTTAACCTGCTTCCGTGCAAATCTAATCAAGGACTCTCACCTCATGAGGTCTTTGCCAGTTTTCTCCGAGTTAACGAGGAACTTCACAAACCCTACATTCGCCACCTACGCACGTTTGGTTGTGTTGCATACGTACACATCAAGAAAGAACGGCGCGTACAGGCCAGGAAGATGGCTCCAAGAGCTGAAGAAGGAAAGTTAGTTGGCTGGGAAGGCATTCATGGCAAAATTTACCACATTTACGTGCCAGCTCGGAATCGAATCGTCCGGGCATGTGATGTTCGCTTTTACGAGAAACTCCCCCAGGAACCACAAAAGTCGGCAAGCGCCGAAGAAGTCGATACAATTGAGTACGAAGCTACGCTTCTCGACGAAGTTCAAGAAGAAGAAGCTGGAGCAACCATCGTTGAGCGAATATCTGATTCGCTGTCAACCATCGAACCGGGAGGAAGGACGACTGATAAGGGTCCGTCCATCGAAGAAACGCAAGACCATCATCTGCCAACGCCGGAGATAACGCAAGAGCTGGATGAATCCCACGATTCTTCTGTGAATACTCTGTCAGACTCCGAAGACAGCCAGGAAATTGACGGACTGGCTGATGAACGGCCAATCCTCCAGAAACAAGCGAGACTTACACCACGCCGGTCGTGAGTTTACCTCGACCGAGTCGTCAAAACGCGGAGCGACCCGCAGGGTACTATCAAAAGCTTCATCGCGGCAATTCGGGAGATCAGGCTTTAGCTTTGTTACCCCAGACGTAGTCTCTCCGATAAACCGTCTAGAAACACTTTGTTTGACAGCAATGAAGGCGGAAAGCCTTGCAAACTCGCTGCAAAGGCTACCCGTTCCTAAGTCATACAGAAAGGCTCGAGTGTCCCCAGATTGGGAGACGAAGTGGAAACCAGCATTTGACAAGCAGTACAAGTACCTCCAAGATCGAAGTGTATGGACACTAGAAGAATTACCCCACGATGCAAAACTACTTCCCGGAAAATGGGTTCTCGACGAGAAGAAACTTCCGACAGGAGAACTGGTCGGCAGAGCCCGCTGGGTTGTCTGTGGGAATTTTGAGGAACACGACAGCTGGGCAGTCCAGGATGTGTATGCTGCCGTTGCAAGCACGACATCAGTCAAAATATTTCTTCTTCGACCTATCCGGCCCAAGGAGCCGGTATTCGAAAACCCAAGACGAAGCGAGCAATTAGCAGCATCGATTGCATGGGGTTTGCCCAAGCGCCATCGGGGACGGAGTTGGCGGGTAAAGGGAGTACCAGATCGGGGTATGGACGATGGCGCGGCAGGGCTAGCGGACGCTGAGCCGAGCGGACAGAGGCAGCCCAGGAGGCGGGAGAAGAGAGCCCGTCTTCGTAGCCGGGACGAGCGCCCGACAAAACAGGTTCGAAGTGGAATCGGAAGGCAGAGGAGACGGGAGCTGCAGGCCGAGGACCTGGCGAGTGTGCTGGGCTTTTTGGAGGAAGACTTTGCCATAAAGGAGAGATTGTCTAACGATCAGACGTGGTGTACGCCAATATCGCTCGAGAGGAAGGTGTCGACGGTGCGAGACTTTTACCGGGTGTTTCACGATGCGAGCACGTTGCCGATACGGACGTGCATGCTGTGCTACCGCAAGCGTACGAGAGAGGAGCTGAGGGAGATCACATGGGATCGATGGCTGTCGAGCTGCGTCCCAAAGGGAGGCCGCTCACCATTCTCATGCCGGAGCTGCTTTCCCGAGGGCGAGTCCGTGTCGGTGTGCGCCGAGTGTGGCCGATGCCTGGCGCGCGGGAGTCTGTCGCCGGCCGTCCACCTTCATATTCGCCTTGGCTGCGAGCACATGTTCCCCGATGAGCTCAAGGGACTCACGCCGGTCGAAGAGAAGCTCGTCTCGCTGAACTCGTGTTATGGGTTTGTCACGAGGTATAGCATTCCGGGCGGCCAGAGGCAGGCCGTGAGATACCGAGGCACGTCAAGGGCCACATCACAGTGTTTCCGAACAATGTGCAGGAGCTGGCGACCAGTGCTCCCGCACCCCTTTGCAAGCACTGGATGAGATCCACGTCTCGTGGCAGGGCGCGGAGAAGCCGGCACCGAGCGACCTGTCGAGTCTCTTGTCGGTGAGGCGGCGGGTGGTCGAGAGGGCCCTTGTCTGGCTGAAGAGGAACAATCCCCACTACGCCGAGATCGAGATCGACGCGGCGGAGATGGAGAGCTGGGGAGATCCGATAGACGGGGTGCCGTCGTCGGTGTACGATCGCATGGAGCGGAACGAGCCATCTGCGTGGGAGAAGGCGCGGACGGCGCACGTTGTGCCTCCCACGGAGCGTGCCATGGACGACGAGGGGTCGGTGGAGATCGAGGAGCTCTTCGCCCTGCTCAACCATGGGCAAGAAGCAGGGGCCAGGTGAAGGCCACGGGCCCAACGGAGAAGGCGAGGTTCGCGATGGAATTGAACGTGGCCCCGTCGTTCTGTCCTCCTTGCTGCCAATTTCCCAACACCAAAGGCTTTCCCAAGATGACAGCCAAGTCTGAAGTCACGCTCTCTAGACCGTCCGAATGGGCTTCCTAGTACGATGATTTCGTCTCAAGGGCTGAGACTTCCAAGGTCTTTGACTTTGTCAATATCGAAAAGGATGCTCCGATCCTGGGAGAACCAAAGGAGCCTATGACTTCCGATTAAATGCTTGAGTCACTCAACAAGTCGGCTGTCACGTGTCAGGGTCGTCAGCAGAATAACGTCGTTGTTAAGCAGTGGCATCGAACCTTCTGATGACAACGTCATCTAGGCAGCCTGGGTAGTGACATCGCCACTCGAAGGCAGCCACAAGTGACAGAACTATAAGAAGTCGCTTTTTGGAGAGATGGAACAATCGCTTCAGAGCAGTCAATACACCACAACCTCTATGCACCTTCATTACTGTACTGTAACCTGCGATGGTTTTCGTTGATGATACGAGCTCTTATACAAGCTACCATCCTTACCCCCTTTGCTCACCCCCTTTTGCTCTGCAAAAATGTTGCCGCTCCATACAAATTGGACCAACTTCACTTACTAGGTCCAGGAGGGGGATGAGGGACGAATTTTAGTCTCCCTAGTAGGCCCTATGGGAAGTATCCTCCGGGCGAAATAAATCCATACCACACCGTACACATCAGCCAAGCAATAGAAGACCCGGATCTAAAAGAGGGCAGGCATGAGTCAACCCGACAGATAGCTGCGAGATGGGCCAAGCGGATGAAGAGGCTGAAGCAGACTCTGGAGTCTCCAAACGATGGGACTCGAATCACTCGATCGCGACGACCGCCCTACACAGCGATTCCCCCGCTGGCCCTCCGAGAAGCGTCGAAGCCTTCGACAGCCGGCAGGGCTCAAGTCCGGTTGAGCATATTGCGCCTGGTTGGCAGTAGTGCGGCGAAGGTGAAACAGTGTCTGCCCTTGAGCGCCGGCTTGACTCGCTCCTCACTCTTTTGGCCGGGAAATTGCGGCGCGGAAAGACTGCCTCTGGCACAAAGTTTCTAGAAGCTGGGATGATGCGAGTAATGACAGGCGGCTCATGGCCGAGGCCGACACTTCAGGAGTGGCAAAGAATAGGTAATCCAGTCTCACGCCCTCCGCGCTCACGCCAGGCAGCCCATGTCGACTTTTCAACATCTTCATATTCTCGGCTTCCCGGCTCTCTCGCCGGCAGACTGGAAGTATCGTGATGCAACTGAGCCAAAATGGGCGACCCCCGAGTTGAAGAAGCCATAGCTTCCGGCCGTTTGCCGCCGCGAGTCACCCGCGAGGAACTTGAAATGAGCCAAGACGTGGCGGGCATCGTCAGCATCTCTGTCGTCACAGCCCTGGCCACCTTGGTCGTCATCTGCAGACTGCTCTCGCGGAGGTTCATCATCAAGCGCTTCGGCTTCGGCCTAGACGACGGAATAGCGCTGGCGTCGCTGGCGAGCCGCCCCTGATGGAGGAGCCGTGGCAAGGACTGGCCAGCCGCTGACTCCCTTCCCGCACAGGTCGTCTTTATTCCCTTTGCGGCCCTTTGTATAGAACTCATCAACCTGGGCACCGGAAGAAGCATCGCCTTTGTCCGTTTCGCCATCGACGACGCCACGTGGGTGAGACAGCAGATTTTCGACTCGATTGCGCACTTGGTCTACGCCACTGCCCTCGTCCTCTGCCGCATATCGGGCCTCGCCTTCTACTACCGTATCTGCGCGCTGCACAAGGGGTTTCTCGTCGCCATCCGGATAATATTCGCCGTCTTGGTCATCGGTTACCTGGCGCAGATCTGCCTCATCATTTTCCACTGCAAGCCCGTCAACATGCTTTGGGCGCCCACCTCATTCGAGGACGAGACCAGGTTCGAATGCTTGGAGTGGGATGAGATATACGGCGCCATCTCAGGCATCTCACTGGCCTGCGACCTGCTGCTCTTTGGCCTCCCGTGGCCATGCTCAAGATCTTGGAGATGCCGCGGAAGCAAAGGTTCAACTGGCCTGCATCCTCTTGCCAGGCATTGCGTAAGTATTGGGTACACCGGCAACTACCAAGGCGACGCGACTCTAACCGCATAATGCAGCGTCGTTGGCATCTCCGTCAGTCGAATTGTCTTCGTGATTGGCTTTGCCTGTGAGTAAGCCCGTACCGCCTGGGTCCAACTATTTACTGACGTGTTGCAAACAAAACCAAGACCAAACTCCCGATACTTTTGATTTTGCCTTTCTAAGGTTGCTCGTCGTCGAAGTCTCCGAGATCGGCGCGACGCTCATTGCCCTGTCGATCCCGGGCGTCAAGCCCATGGTGGACAAGTTTATCCTCCGAAAGGACATTTGCTCCAAGTTTGGTGGATCCAGGACGGTCAGGACCTGCTCCAACAGGGGCAGCATCGGGTCCCAGAGCTCAAGCCTGAGCATCTTGAAGGGCCGCTCGCATTCCAGCGTCTTCGACGACGACAGCACCGCGCAACACGGAGCGGCCGTGTGCCGGGGCGAGCTGAACGAAGACGTCAAGCAGGAGGGCATTCAAGTGACGGTGGACATCTATGTCGAAGGCGCACAAAGCTAGTTCGAGGAAAGGCACCCGAACTTCATATAGTTGTGACGGTACAAGTGCACGAACAAGGTCGGGTGCGACTTGGGTAAAGTGATTGTCTACGAAGAGAGAAGGAGGTTCCTAAGGAAGACTCTGACTTTCGCTATTTACATGAATCAAAGTGAGACATTTCATAAAGTATGAAAGTCACATGATCGTTCCTCACACATGGGCCTCCCTTACTCCATCGCTTCTGATTCTTCCACGTCTTGCTGAGCCTGTAGGCGAGCATTTTGCACTTCTTGTTTCGTGGGTCTGGGTTTGTTTTGCTGTGCTTCTCGAAGTCTCTGATGGCGATGTGAGCGTTGACGACGTTCTGTAGTGGTTCCCATGTTGCCTGCTCAAGGTCGAAGCTCTCCATAGTATATGGTACTGGAAGCCTTTCTGTTTTGTGCGTTTCGAGTCCAGTATTGCTTCAATCGCCCAGAGTTTCTCCCCTTTGCATCTAGCGTTATTGGTGGGGCGGTGTGTTGTATTGGCCGTGAGCGGGTCGTTTGGTGACGGTCGTAGGAGGTTGGCGTGGAATGAATTGTGAATTGAGTCTAATTCATGTGGCAACTTCAGTTGGTAGGAGTGAGGTTGAGCACGCGCTCGATTCGAAAAGGGCCAATGAACTTATGATCTAGTTTGGGGATGGGTCTGGCCGAATCGATGTTGCGTGTGCTAAGTAGCACCATGTCTCCAACTCGGTACGCTGGCGCCGGTGATCTATTTGCGTTGGCGAACTGTTCTTGTGAGGCTTGAGCTGAGAGCAGGTTTGTCCGAAGTAGATCAGTGATTTCTTGCATCTTGGCGACAAATTCGTTCCCCTCGTTGCAGCGTTCTGCCAGGTCTTTGGATGCCGCGAGTGGTATTGCGCGAGGGGGACCAAAGCTCATTCGGGGGTGGTAGCCTGTGTTCGCAAAAAATGGAGACATTCCCGTTGAATCGCTAACAACGTTACGGGCTGCGAATTCGGCCAATGGGAGCCACTCGTCCCAGTCGTCCTGAGCAAAGCTAACATACTGGCGAAGGTATTGTTCGAGAAATGAGTTAGCGTTTTCCGTCTGGCCGTCAGTTTCGGGGTGATATGCTGTGGAGAGGCTGATATTGATCTGTAGGCGGTGGCAAACCGCTTTCCAGAATTCCGAGACAAACAGTGGTCCTCTATCAGATACGATTGAATCCGGTAGTCCATGGAGTTTCCAGACATCTCGTACGAAGAGCGTTGCCAAGTCATGTGCTTTCATGTCGGTCTTGCAAGGCGTGAAATGTCTGTCCTTTGACAGCCTATCGACTACCACCATGATTGCGTTGAATCCACGAGCTGTGCGCTGAATTGGGCCAATGAAGTCAACGGACAAGTCCCTCCATCTTTGCAAGGGAACTGGGAGCGGTTTCAACGTCCCCTGGTACCGTAACCGGGAGGTCTTGTTCCTCAGGCATCCGTGGCAATTGCGTGTGAATTGTTTCGTATCGGCGCTAAGCCTTGGCCACCAATAAGAGCGTGAAATGAGTTCGTATAGCTTGTTTTTCCGGGGTGGCCTGATTCGACGCTGTCGTGGGCGAGTTGAGTGAGCAGGGTCCGTAGTTCGCCTGCGGGTACGTATAGCCTCTCTCGGAAATATAATCGGCCTTCGTTTATCATGCATTCCGATAGAAACTTCCTTCGAGTGAGGAGTGCCATGGGGTTTGAGCATCTCGTCCCTGATTTTCATCCACCATTCGTCCTCCTCATAGCCCTTGTCTAGAAGTCTTGTGATTCTGTGGTTGATTGGTTCTGGCTGAATTTCGTCAAGAATGGCGGGACATAGTGCAATTTCTTGTTCCCAGGAGAGATTGGCAAAGAGTTCTGAGAGCTCGGGGTCAAGCTTTAGTTGTTCTTGTACAGAGGAGTCTATGTTGCAAGGCTTAAGCAGCGATTGTTGTTGGTACTGGATGCGGTCGTCATTTTCATCTTTCGGTAAGTCTTGTGATCTCCGTGTGAGTGAGTCAGGTTTTCCTTTCTCTTTCCCAGGCACTGACTTGATAGCGAATTGGAACTGTGATAGGAATTCGCTCCACCTGACTTGTCGTCTTGAAAGTTGCTTGGTTGTCATGAAATATCGAAGGTTGGCATGGTCAGTGATGACTGTAATCTGGTGGTGTGTGCCTTGGAGTTCGGGTCTCCAGCATTCGAAGCAGCGTACAATAGCCAAAAGTTCTTTGTCATAGATCTCGTAATTGCACTCAGCGGGGTCGTACTTCTTGGACATGAAGGCCACTGGGTGTAGCACTCCTGATCGTCTTCCTGGGAGAGGATTCCCGAAGACACGAAATCGGACGCGTCGCATTCGACGAACACTTCTCTTGCAGGGTCGAAGTGTCTGAGGATTGGCGCTGAAGTGAAGCTATTTTTGAGCATATCGAATGCTTCTTGGCAAGATGAAGCCCAGTTCCATTTGACTAGCTTCCGTGTCAGGGCAACAAGTGGTCGTACGATGCGTGAAAATCCCTTGATGAACCGTCTGTAGAAATTCGAGAATCCCAAGAAGGCTTGAACATCTTTGACGTTGATAGGGGCCTCCCAGTTGATGAGACAGTCGACTTTCTCTGGGTCCATCCGTACTCCAGTGGTTGAGATGATCATGCCCAGATATTTGACTTCAGTAGTCTCGAATTCGCATTTCTTGACGTCAAGTTGTAGGCCTGCGGCTTCAAGTGCTTGGAGTACTGATTTGACGTGGAGTCTGTGGGTGGCGAGGTCGTCTGAGTAGATGAGAATGTCGTCGATGTAGGCCGTGCAATATCTATCAAGGAATGGGCGTAAGACTTCGTTAATTCGAGCTTGAAAGGTAGCTGGGGCGTTTGATAGTCCAAAAGGCATCACCATGCTCTCGAAGAGACCATATCTTGTGTTGAACGCCGTCATCCACTCCTGACCCTCCTTGATGCGTATTCGATTAAACGCTGCGACGACATCGAGTTTGGTGAAATACTTGGCTTGGCTTAGCTGGGAAAGGGTCTCGCAGGGATAAAAAATGGAAGGTAAGAGTCAATCTTGTTCATTGTCGTCTATCTAAAATGAATGTGAGAAGTTCTGTCTCCTTATAGTCCTGAGGGAATATGACTGCCTTGCGGTGGCGAATTGCCACTTGCCACCCAGGGTGCTTTTGTAATGTTATCTAGAAAGTTCGATGACATCGCTTATCAACCGCGCATTTCATTATACGCATCCTGAATGCGACACACCCCCCCAGTCCTGAGGGAAAAGCCCTCAGGCTGTGTGGTATTTACTCCTCATCGTCAGAGGGAACGTGGTGAATTCGTGGAGAAATGTCAATGAGACCAAGTTGTTGAACAAAGGCCTTGAAGGCTTGGCCAGGCAGTGCTTTGGTGAGACCATCCGCGATCATTTGATTCGTTGGGATGTACTCGACCTCAAAGTGGCCTTCTTGAAACGTTTGCCTTGCCCAGGCGTTGTGAATATCGACGTGTTTGAGAGCAGTTTTTATACGTGGAACGTCGGCTGTGATGAGCCTGATCGTCTGTGTGTTGTCACACTCAATAACGGGGTCGTTGTCAAGCTCCAGATCGATTTGCTTGAACAATCGGAGGAGGCTGAGAGTCTCTTTGGCCGTGTGGGTGAAGGCGAGGAGCTCTGCCTCAGTGGAAGAAGTAGTAACAGTGGTTTGCTTCGTAGCGTTCCACCAAATTGACCATTGAGAGTGATGAGACATCCTTGGGAGGATTTCCTCGAATCAGGGTTATCCGCGAAAGCAGCGTCGGTAGCAATCCGGATTTCCTTCGGCTTGGTAAGAAGTTGGAGCTCGTTGGAATTTCCTGAAAACTCAAGCGCGAAGAATCGTGTTGCAAAAAGATACTCAAGCATCCGATCCATGATTTCATGGTGCTTGGGAGAAGGATTCATCATGTGTTCAGCCAATTTGCTGACACCAAAGGAAACATCGGGTCGAGTTGATATCGCCACAAAATTGATCGATCCCGTTTTCTGTTGAAAAAGGTTCACGCTTTCAGGAGTGGCCTGTCCGTCGTGAGGTTGAAGAGAATTTCCGGGCAGCGGATTGCCTCGGAAGAAAGATTTCTTAGTGATTCCATACTGGGTTGCAATCTTGTCGATGTACGAATCTTGGCAAAGCCAAACCTTGCGGGCATCTCGGTCTCGAATGACTCGGATCCTCTCGCGAAGAGAGGGTGCAAGTGATGAATAGATTATGTTTTTTCTCCTTCGATTCTTCTTCCTCCCTAACAAAAAGTGACTTCTTATAGTTCTGTCACCTGTGGCTGCCTTGTGGTGGCGATGTCGCCACCCAGGCCGCCTAGATGACGTTGTCATCTAGAAGGTTCGATACCACCGCTTAACAACAACATTATTCATCCTTCTCAGTCACCTTTGCTAGAGTCAGCCCGACTAGGTAACCTCCGGACCTAGATCGTTAACCCGTTTTCACGACAGATCCCAAGGAACCAAGATACTTCACCCTGGTTGGTGAGTTCATAGTGGCTTTGTAGCTGTGTGATTAGATGGTTGACATTATCCTCGTTCTTCTTCCGATAAAGAATCGAGATATCATCCACAAAGAAGAAAATGATGCACCAGTCATTCACCTGGATGCATGGTTCATCAGGACAGGTCTTGAGGCCTAGTTCTTCAAAGGTGGTCGTGAGTTCCTTCTGCCAGAGCAAGGGTGATCTTCGTAGACCATACAGGGCTCGGAGAAGCTTGAGAACCCAGCCAAAACGTTTAAATCCATCGGGGAATTCAACGTACACGAGTTCATCTAACTCGGCGTTCACAAAAGCGTTTACAGCATCAAGGTGCCGTGATTCGAGGTCGAACTTGCACATCAGGGCCATCATTATGCGAAAGTTGCGCGCTGCAAGCGTCGCGGCATATGTGTCCCTGCTGTTGGTTTCTTGTAAGTCTCCGCGGACGCAGAGGCGGGACTTGAACTTGGTCAGGTAACCATGCTTGTTGAATTTGTACTTGAAAGCCCAAGTGAGGGGAAGGGGTCTTCCAGCGGTCGGATCCATCTGATCGCGCCGAACGGGTTTGAAGGTGCCTCGGAAAAGAGTGCATCAACTTCAGTTTTGCCAGCAAGTTTAAACTGGTCTCCAAAGGGGTGAGAGTCGAGTTCTCTCCAGGATCGTGGTTCAGGGGGAAGGGTCCGCTTGTGGAGTCGTTCCTCCCTTGCTGTTCGAAATGCAGCGTGAAAGGAAGCTGAGGGATGAGACTGTTTCCTCGCTTGAATTCGGGCTGAGCGTCTAGTTGGCTCTTGAGGAGTCTTGTCCACTCGATTTGGCTCAGGCTCGGGGTTTAGAGGCGGGTCCTCCGGGTCAGCAACAAATATCGTGTCATGTGGCTCCGGGGTTGCCTTAGGGGTAAGCAGTTGTGCTGCCTCATCTTGGAAGCACACGCGTTTTTCAGGGGCGGACTGAGAAACCATCTGATCGTTGGGCTCCTCATCCTCTGACTCAGAGTCGATGTGCTCTGGGAACGGGATTTCTGGTTCTTTAATGATCAGGGGAATGTCTCCAGCAGATTTCTGGTAGACCTGTGATTCATCAAAAGTGACATCACGGACTCGGCGGACTTCCGAGCGTGATGGAATCCAAATGCGGTAAATGTTATGGGAATCGTATCCCACGAGATATCCAATCTCAGCGTGTGGTTGAGTCTTAAGGTCTCTCTTCTGAGTACCTTCAAGCACAGTAGTTGTTAAAGGATAGGCTCTACAGCCATATGCCTTCAGGTGAGTGATGTCGGGTAAAGGATTCGCTGAGTAACCTGTGTCTCGATTGCTGTCCCTAAGCCACTCGTGTAGCCTTTGGAAAGGAGTCTTCCAGTTCTCGCGAAGTTGAGGTGACCGGTTGTATAGGTAGGTGGCGGCGGTCCAGGTCTCAGGCCACATATCATCATCGAGATTCGCCTCGACGTGCATGTTCCGAGCCCTTGCGCCTATCACCCCCCCAGAACGCTCGGCAGGGCCGTTCTGTGCCGGTGTGTGAGGAGCAGTAGGTTCATCCTCAATGCCCTCATCATCTATCCATGTAACGTACCCGGACTGGAGTCCGCGGTCGTTATCCCGGTGAACGACGCATACTTGGAGCCTCCATTGGCGCCAAATGTACGAAGAAAAACGTGAAAGCGTTGAAATAAGGGTCTCTTGTTGACTGTTCGGAAGTGGGTAACAGAAAATGAGCCCAGAAAAGTCATCCTTGAGTAGCAATGCTACCTTCTTGCCGTTGTAGCTTTGGTGCATGCTGAAGAGGTCAATGTAGATCCGCCAGAAAGGCCTTGGAGAAGTTGCCTTGGACGGTCTTCGTGAAACTTGCTTTTCGCTTTTGCGAGGAGCACACCTGACAGTCGATCGTTGCTGGGCCTTTGATCTTGCATCCAGTCGTTGTCTCGACGAGGTGTTCCAATGCAGCGGGGTTCAAGTGACCCAGACGTCGGTGCCAGAGTAGTGCCTCTTTCGGATCAGAAGGCTTGGGATCCTTTGAGGTTACGGCGGCAATAGCAGGCGGAAGGGAAGGGGAAATTGGTGTGAATTCGAGGACGTTTTGTCCGTGCATCGGGGTCGTCCTACATATCTCCCAGCCATTTTTTGACACGACTCCTGTCATAAGAGTCCAATCGATGCCTGCCTTGCGGAAACGGTCGGCTGATGCAACGTTGGTATGAAAAGACGGGACGTGTAAGGCTTGGTTGAGTTGGAAAGTTCGATTGTAGCTGACGTTAATGATGACGGTGCCTCGACCAAGGATAGGCAAAAATTCCTTCCCCGAAAGAAGTCTTTCTCCTTCCTCTGCAGATTGGTAGTAAATAAAACGGTGCCGATCCCGAATTACGTGGACATCTGATGCTGAATCAAGCAAAACAGAGTCTCGAAGCGGGTAGACGTATGATGTGGATGCGGCTGCCGGTGGAGGTGAGCTTAAGGTGACTGCAGCAGTTGCTGACGGTTCACCCGTACTCGGAGTGTCGTTTTTGTTGCCAGAACCATCCTGTCGATTCTGACTCTGCCCTTTTGAGTGTTTGAGCATACGTTCGACTACTCCAACTAGGTGTGGTTTCTTCTCAAGAAGCTCTTTCTTCTTGGCCTCTATATCGGCCCTCGGCTGCCAGTTGGTCGGCCGAATCGACTCATTGTAGTAGTAGCAGTCAGGGAATCGGTGGTCCTTGCCGCATACACACGTGGGTATCCGATGTGTGGTCGAAGAAGAGGAATCATTGTTGGAAGAGGATTGAGAGGATCGTTTGGTGTTTGTTTGGCTGGAATGCTCGCCCTGCCAAGTGGCGAACGTGCTTCCGCCCTTTCCACCCTTTTGATCAGAAGTGAGGGAATGAGCCCTCTCAAAAATGGTACTGATCTCAATGCCGTCTGGAAATCGACCTTGCCAGAGTGGATCGATGCCACGGGCTTCGTCTTCCATTTTGTTGAGCCAGTAATGAGAAAACGTGGGGTTTACTCCCGAAACTGCCTTAAGGAACAGCCGAGTCGGTCTGAGGCCTTGGGCGTCGGGGATACCGAGCTGTTGGGCTTCGGTGAGGACTTGGTGCCACTTTGTGACCCAATCCGAAATCTTTGTCCTGTCGGGCGACCTCAACGTGGAATGAAATCGGTCAAGGACGTCTTGTTCTTGTGCCCAGCTGGTAGGCTGAATCCTCTGCTTGAGGACCCTAAGTTCCTTTGCAACGTCATGTTCGTAGGCAATAGTGTTGTAATAGTTCCCACAGGTCTTGACGATGTGTTCCTGTAGGCTTGCTAGAGCCTTCTGTCGTGCCTTAAAGATCGAGTACTCATGACGGTACTGGGAAGTCAGAAGCTCAAAAGTTTTGATCTTGTCAGGATTGAGGGTTATGAGTGTTGCCTCATCCTGCAGATCTGATGGTTCCGGTCTCCGTGGTTCCCGTGGAGCCGGGTTGAGGGGTCGACTTGGGTCGACAAAGTCCCAGATTCCGTGCGCAATGGCGAATTTCTGAATAACGCTTATCCACTGTTTCCAGTCTGACGGGCCGTTAAGCTTGACCCGGGACGAATCGACGGACGCTTCCTTGTGTGACTCCATCCTGAGTGCTGATGGTAGTCGATAGACTGAGCTTGTACGTCTTCGTGGACGTAGATCTCGATAGACTGAGCTTGTACACCTTCAAGGGCGTAGATCTCAAAAACTGGCGCTGTCGCTCTTCGTGGAGACGATTTGTGCCAAAGCGTAGGTGCAAGAAAATCCGATGGCGCAACTAAGGGCCAACCGGGCTCATAACTCTCGCAGGGATAAAAAATGGAAGGTAAGAGTCAATCTTGTTCATTGTCGTCTATCTAAAATGAATGTGAGAAGTTCTGTCTCCTTATAGTCCTGAGGGAATATGACTGCCTTGCGGTGGCGAATTGCCACTTGCCACCCAGGGTGCTTTTGTAATGTTATCTAGAAAGTTCGATGACATCGCTTATCAACCGCGCATTTCATTATACGCATCCTGAATGCGACAAAGGGTCTCCTGGATCAACGGTAGGGGGTAACTGTTCTTGATGGTTATCGCGTTAAGAGCTCGGTAGTCCACGCAAAAACGAAGGCCCCCTCCTGGTTTCTTTGCAAATAACACCGGCGAGGCTGCCGGTGAGGTGCTAGCGCGTATAAAACCCTTGTCAAGGTTTTCCTGAAGGAATTTCCGGAGGACGAGAAGTTCATCTTGGGACATCCCGTACAGAGGTCCATGTGGTGGAGTCGTTCCAGGTTGAAGTTCAATTTCGTGGTCGCAGTCTCGGTGTGGGGGGAGCTTATCCGCCTCTGATTGGTCGAATGCCTTCAGGAATTCATGGTAGTGTTGGGGCACTTTTGTTGCAGGATCGATCAAAGTCTTGGGTTCGAGGGCTTTGTGAATGTCTTCGAGTGATGCCCCTGAAAGGTACATATCGGCTGCTGTTTTCCGGGAAGCTCGGAGTTCCTGTGTTTGTTGGTCCTTGGGGTTAAGGGAGGTGATTCCATCCTGTAGCTGGAGTTCTCGGTTCATCTTGTCCATGTCTGTGAGTGCAGAGTCGAATCGGACCCGTCGGCGTGCTCTAGGTTCTACGAAGGTGGAGGCTTCTGTGATGACTCCAAGTTCAGCTAGCCTTTGTCGATTTCATACAGTGATAGTGAGAATACGTCGACGTCGCGGTTTTTGGTCAGCATATGGAACAGGCTGCGCCGACTCTTCGGGGATTGATGGGCGTGGCAGTATAGTCGTGGTTGCAGAAATTGACAAAGAGGTCTTAACAGGCAGTTGGTATTGTCCTTTCTTCATGCAGTATTTGCGGCAGTGATCAGAGTTGAAAGTGACCACATTCGTGCTCCAATTTACGATTGGATTGTGATCTGTCAGTGTCACGGGCTGTGCCTGTTTGGTGGACCCGGTTGTACCGGGTCCGGTGGGTCGTGCTCAGGTGGCAGTACCGCCCGCCCGCGGACCCGGAAGCTGCGAGAACATTCTGTGAAGGGCAATATAAGCTCGCACTCGAGGCTACGCCTCGAGTTCGGCTTCCTTTCCTCCTTAGCTCTAGATAGATAACACCTAGGCACCTGCTTGTTGAATAAACTCCGGGCCAGCCTCTTACATATCTAGAGCTCCTTCTAAACACCGCAAGCTGCAGACTGCTCGTCAAGATGGACCAGCAGAGTGAGAGCCCAAGTCTCCAGCAGCAATGGATCGACCAACGCATCCAAGAAGCGGTCAATGCGACTCTCAGCCCTCTACAGGACCAACTTTCCTCGCTGGTGGAGCAACTCGGGCGAGCGCAGCCGCAGAGCGCCGACTTGCAATCGCCGCCAGTGGCACGAGGATTGGGCGAGAGTACGCCTGGCTTGGGCACGCCCCTCCCCAAAACCTGCGATACTGGAACGCGGAAACCGTTGCCTAACCCACCCAAGTATGACGGCTCCCGGAAGAGCTACTCCACCTGGGCCAGACAGATGCGAGACAAGCTGGACCTTGATGCCCACTACTACAGCGGAAACCGCGAACTTTGGTACCTCATCAACTCATGTTTGGACGAGCGACCACAGCAAGTGGTCGCTACCTTTTACGCCGCGGGAGGCCCTGGGGGTAGCTACGATCCCCAGGAGTTCATGCGATACCTCGACCGAACCTATCAGGACAGCAACATCCAATCCCGCGCTGCTGCCACGCTGAGAACTATGCGACAGCGCGAAGACCAACCTCTTGCGTCCTTCCTTCCCCGATTCGAACAGGCATTAGCTGAAGCCGGGGGAGCAGACTGGCCGGACAGTGCAAAGATCGTATTTCTAGAGAACGCAATAAATGCACGCCTCCAAGAGAGTTTGGTCACAGCCGTCCTGCCCGACGACTATCAGGGATGGCTTACGAGAGTTCAAGAAATTGCGGGCAGATTGGAGAGACTGAAACCCGGTAGGCAGCCGACTTCGACTGAGCGGACGCCTCAACATCTATCAAGGCAACGACCCAAGGAGGAACCGGAGGACCCCGACGGAGATTTTAAGATGACGGACATCAACCGTATTGGCCAGGAGTCGAAGGGTCGTCGACATGTCGATAAGAAGCCGAAGGACGAGCGCCGCTGCTATCGCTGTGGTCGGAAGGATCACCTTATCGTGGACTGCCCAGCCCAGGTGGTCTTCCCCGGTGAAGCAAAGAAGGATCGGACTGTGACCGCCCGCGTGAAGCAACCGGACGCTAGCAACGATTCGGATTCGGCCGCAACATCCAGTGAAGATGACGAGTCGAAGGGAAAAGACTAGCCCCGGTGCGAAAGCGGGTGCCGGGGCCTTCCAAGGCAGATATCCAAGACTGGAAGACATTTAAGCCGCGTATGAACAGTCGACCCGTGCTCATTAACGCACGGCTCAACAGAGGAAATCCTATACGCGTTCTAGTCGATAGTGGATGTGACTGCTATGCCGTGATCGACGAAGCGGTCGTCCAGAAGTTTCGGATCCCTCTCGTCGATTCGAAGCCTCGAGAGATCGGGGCTTCGAGTCCTCAGAGAGTGTCACGTCGCCGGGAGTTGTGGCTGTCGTTTTGAGACCGCCGGTTTTGACGAACGCATCTTTGCGTACGTCGTCCCAAGCCTCGGCCAGGATATGTTCCTTGGCCGGCCTTGGATGGAGAGGAACCAGGTCGTGTACAACGCTGCTAAGCGGCAAGTGTACCACGGAAGAGCAGGCGTGACGGTACGCCTCGTAGGGCAGGAAGAGCCCGCCAAAGTACGCGCGATTAGAAGCGCAAGACTTGTGTCGGCAGCCGTGTTTACGGCAGAGTGCCGGCGTGCAAAGAGACGCCAGAAGTGCAACGCGTTCTCGGTTCAAGCGATCAGCTTGGCAGACATAGAGAAGGCGCTTCAACCGAAGCCGCCAATTGACACCAGTGAGAAGGCCCGGCAGATGTGCTGGAAAAGTTCCGCAAACTTTTTCACCCGAAGAAGCCATGAAGTTGCCGCCTCACCGGCCAGGTGTGGACCACGAAGTCAACTTGCAGCCTGGCAAGAACGGCAACGAGCCGCCCTACCATGGGGACCGCTCTACAACATGTCACGCGAAGAGTTGTTGGTCTTGCGAAAGACCCTGAAAGACCTTTTGATAGAGGGTTCATCCGAGCGAGTAGCTCGGCTGCCGCAGCGCCGGTGCTGTTCGTGAGGAAGCCAAGTGGAGGGCTGCGGTTCTGCTGTGACTATCGGGCGCTAAGTTAAACGCAATCACCAAGCGCGACCGATATCCACTACCACTCATCGCTGAAACATTGCAGAACCTGGCCAAAGCCAAATGGTTCACCAAGTTGGATGTCGTGGCCGCATTTCACAAGATTCGCATGGCCCCGGGGCATGAGTGTAAGACAGCTTTCCGCACAAGGTTCGGGCTCTACGAGTGGCTCGTGTGCCCCTTCGGCCTGAGCGGAGCCCCTGCAACGTTCCAGCGGTACATGAACAGCGTGTTGCGCGAATGGCTGGACGATTTTGTCACCGCATACCTGGATGACGTCCTGATCTACTCGAGCGGTTCGAAGGCCGACCACGAGGCCAAGGTGCGACAAGTTCTCCAAGCACTTGCCGACGCTGGCCTGCACCTGGATCCAGCGAAGTGCGAGTTCTCGGTACAGGAAGTCAAGTATTTGGGGTTCGTTGTAAACGCAGGCAAGGGAATCGCTTGGGATCCGAGAAGCAGCGCGCCATCCGCGAATGAGAGGCTCCAACTACAGTGAAAGGCGTCAGGAGCTTTCTGGGCTTTGCCAACTACTACCGGATCTTCATCCCCGACTACGCCAAGATCACGCAGCCTCTAGATGCCCTATTGAAGAAAGGAACCACCTTTCGTTGGGGGCGGACGGAGAGCGAGGCGTTTCAGGAGTTGAAGCGACGATTTTGCGAGTCGCCCGTGCTCAAGCAGTGGGACCCAAGTCTCCCACCTTCTTGGAGACGGATTGCTCAGGCTATGCGTTGGGAGGCGTCTTGGCGCAGGAAGGCCCGGATGGACGTCGACACGCATGTGCCTTCTTTCGAAGCGACTCTCACCAGCAGAATATAACTATCCCATTCATGACAAGGAGATGCTGGCTATCATGAGGTATCTCGACAACTGGAGTGCCGAGCTCAGGAGCTGCGGCCCGTTCACCGTCCTCACAGACCACCGCAACCTGGAATACTTCATGACGCGCCAGAAGCTCACGGAACGACAGAGCCGTTGGGCTGCTGAATTGTCGCAGTTCGACTTCAAACTCGAGTACCGACCCGGATGTGAGGCCGTCGTGCCAGATGCACTGTCACGCCGCGAACAGGACAAGCCACAGGGCATCGACGACGAACGAGAACAAGGGAGGATGATACAGTTGATACCGGATAGTGCAATTCCATCATCGGGAAGAGCACGCATCAACGCCATGAGCCCCGACTGCTCGGAAACTTCTGTCCTCCCGGAGATGAAGGTCTTCGAGGAAGCAGACATGCAACAGCTCTGGGATGAGACGGTCGAGAGGGACTCGATTTTTCGGGCTGCTTACAAGGCAGTACGGGATCGCGAGCGTGTCTTTCCGCCCTCGCTAGGCTTGAAGGTCCAGATTTCGGAATGTGCGATCGACACAGGCAAGAGGTTGACATTCAGAGACCGCATCTGGGTACCAGGAGGATCTGGCGAGAAGGGCAGTCAAGAAGAAGCCGACAAGGATCAACTCAGAACCCGCATCGTGCAACAGTCGCACGATTCCACTACGACTGGCCATCCCGGCAGAGAAGGCACGCTGGCTATTGTGGCACGTCGCTTCTACTGGCCCGGACAGTCCCAGCTTGTCCGCCGGTTCGTGGCCAATTGCGATATCTGCGGCAGAGCGCACATCTGGCGCCAGTCCAAGCGGGGATTCCTGAAGCCGTTGCCGATTCCAGATCGACCGCGAAGCCATCTGTCCATGGACTTCATCACAGACCTGCCGCCTACTGGACCCAGCAAGGCTCGGTACCTATGGGTGATTGTGGATAGGCTGACCAAGGCGGTGACCCTTGAGGTGATGGACACCATGGAAGCTGAGGCGTGTGCAAAACGTTTTCTCCAGTGCCATTACCGATTTCACGGAATGCCACGGTCAATTGTTAGCGACCGCGGGAGCAACTGGCTGAGTCGTTTCTGGAAGAGGTTCTGCCAACTCGCCGGCGTCATGCAGAGATTGAGTACAGCGTACCATCCGCAGACTGACGGTGGCCCAGAACGAATGAACCAGGAGATCGAGGCGTACTTGAGAGCCTACGTATCCTACGTACAGGACGATTGGGGTGACCTTCTCCCCGCGCAACTGGCACTCAACAACCGTGAATCAGCAGCGACCAAGATCAGTCCCTTCTTCGTGGAGCATGGTTACCACGTCGATCCCATAAGCGTCGAGGACTCGGAGGATCCATCTCGGGAGCGGGAGGAGAGTAAAGCAGACGCCTTACTCACTCGCCTGCAAGAAGTCAACGAGTACATGCAAGCAGTGATGGCTGCCGCGCAGCAACGACAAGAAGAGGCCGCGAATGTGAAGCGACAACCAGCAGAGCGTTTTGAGGTTGGAGACAAGGTGTGGCTTTCGATGGCAAACTACCGGTCGCCACGACCGTGCAAGAAGCTGGACTGGTTGCATCACAAGTACACAGTCACGAAGGTCATCAGCTCGCATGTCGTCGAGCTTGACGTGCCTGGCTCGATTCATAAACGTTTCCATGTCGACCTTCTCCGGCGGGCGCATCAAGATCCGGCTCCTGGCCAAAAGGTGGATGACGCACAACCACCAGCGATACAAGACGAGACCGGCGAGGATCTATGGGATGTCGACGAGATTCTTTGCGCAAGATGGAAGAAGCGCGGACGAGGGGAATTCAGGCAAGCACTGGTGCGATGGACGGGCTACTCAGAGCCGACTTGGCAGCCAGTTGAGTGGCTGAAAGGAACAATTGCGATGAAGGCATTCGAGGACAAGTACGGGCCAATCAAGACCAATGATGGCCCTAGGCAGAGATACGAGACGCTGACAGGAACTCGAGGAACCCGCCGACCACGGCCTGGTCGGAGGGGGGAAGGGGGGTAATGTCACGGGCTGTGCCCGGCTTGGTGGACCCGGTTGTACCGGGTCCGGTGGGTCGTGCTCAGGTGGCAGTACCGGCCCCGCTCCGCGGACCCGGAAGCTGCGAGAACATTCTGTGAAGGGCAATATAAGCTCGCACTCGAGGCTACGCCTCGAGTTCGGCCTTTCCTCCTTAGCTCTAGATAGATAACACCTAGGCACCTGCTTGTTGAATAAACTCCGGGCCAGCCTCTTACAGTCAGCCAGGGTTTTCCGAGTATGACATTGTACTTCCCAAGCTTCGTTACGTAAAAGAGCATCTTCTCCTTGTGTCCCTTGATTTCCATGTTGAGTTTCACCACGTGAGTGATATCGCCGGCCGAGGAGGGTCTTCCATCGACTACGTTCAGCCGGCGACGGTTTCGTAGTTCATAAAGCGTGAGTTTGTTGGCGTGCGCGAAGGATTCGTCTATAAACCCCTTTCCGGTGGCACCTGAGTCAAGCATTGCTTCGGTTTTAATCGGAGTGGAATTGTCTTCGATTAGGTTACAAGGCAGTAGCAAATGAGCTTGGTTAGTGTCCAGGGAAGAGAGCAGTAGATCCATCTTTTTCTTGCGTCTCCTGCGGCGACTTCCGTCGGAGACTACGCTTTTTCCGTCCTCCATGGTGCGGTGTCGCAATTGAGGGAACGATGTTTGCCCGAGTTGCACCAATGGCAGAGTCCATGCGCTGTGCAATAGGCTTTGCGTGCCGCTCTCTCTGCTTCCGTTTGGGGTCTACGACCAGAGGCGACATCTTTGGCCCCCCAGGTGATGACGCTCAAATCCATTGAATCCCCGCCGTTAGAGGTCGTCAATTGTGGCGTAGTGGAGGGTTGTAAAGTCGCCTTGTGATTTGCTGAGTTGTCGGTGTTTTTCTTGAAGTAATTGGCATTGACTTGACGGCACTCGTTATCGCAGATACGGACAAGATCCATAAATTGACCAAGTTCGGTAGGGGTATCTTTGCCCTTCGTGAGAGAAAGTCTCCAGATGACATTGTCGTGGAGGGCACGTCGGAGGTGAGCGATGAGCGCCCCACTATCCCACTCGGTGAGCTTGGCGACGGCATACCATTCGGGGAGGAATGTCGTAAGGGATCTATGGCCTTGTTTCATGTCAAAGATTTTGAGTTGGGCGGTAGCTTTAGCGTCAATATCCCCGAAGGCTGACTGAAGGGTGCTTTTTATGGCATTGACATCGTCGAAGAGGACCACCCCATCTTTAATGTTGTAGCGGACTTGGTCATGTGCTTTGCCTTTTAGGCATGAGACAACATATCCCATACGTTGAGGTTCCGAATTCCACCAATCTTTGTTCATTTCGAGCTTCAACTCGAGGTGCTGAAGGAAATTCGGCAGAAGCGTGGGGTCCTCTCCGGTGAAGGCCTCAGGATCAGGGTGTTCTGGTGTGCGGTGTGAAGCTCCCTTTGACTGAATGATTTTTAGGTATGCTTCATTTTCAGCCATAAGACGGGCGATCGTTGCGTCTCCATCAGTTTTAGTAATGAGCGTGTTTTCTAGGCGGGTTTGGAGGTCCTCCATTTCCGTATTTGTCGTCGTGGCCGAGGCACGTAGTGAATCGATTACTGCTTGCATACTGTATGCGGCATTGCATACGAGGAAGACTTCTTTCATGAGACCGGCTGGGTTAGCAACAAAGGCATTTTGGAATGTTTCATTGATATTGCTGGCGTTGAGAAGGGGCAGGGGGCACTCGATCGCAGTGATCGGAATGGTCCGGTATGAGTTGGTATTGGTATGGTAAATACCGCCAAGACCTGGTATGGTTTGACAAAAACTTGATACCATGGTATTACCGGTATACCGGATCATACCAGTAACGCTAAAAATAAGCTCAGGTGAGAGGCTCACTGCGAAGAATGACCAGGCGGAATCCGAGCGGCGATGATTCCAATGTCATCTTTTGGGCTTATTGACCAGTTTTCTGCCAGTTTATCTACTCCATTCAATCATGAAACCATCATCCTCACAATATTGACCTGGCTACCTTGGCCAGGTCGATCCGGCACCGAGCGGATGCTTTTCGTCTTCGCTGCCGGGTAGCTATCCCAGGGAAGGCACGAAGGTAAGGCCAGTGTTAGTGTGTGTTAGAAAGTACTTCTAATTACACCAAGTTTTATGAGTTCTTTTATGTGGGACGGAGCACGACCTAACGTATCACTGGCCGGACTTGTCAATCGCGTCGTCGGAGGGGCAGGAAAAGCTTCAATGATCCTTTCTCTCGCGAAGGAGAGAGCAAAAGTGGGCATAGAAGTGGATAAAGGGGCTTTTCGAAGGTCGAGTATCATATGATCAGATGGTATGCGAGAATGCATGTGTTGATTGCTCTCTCTCCCCCGTTCAAGCAGCCCCTTTTATATCCCTCCAAGCTTCTCCCAAGTTGATATCCCGTTTTCAGGTATAGTATACATTCTATCAGGAAGAGGGCACTTCTTGCCACTTACTGAAGGCCACGTAAGTCATCTACGTCAGCAACATCAGCTCCATCTCCCCGATCGAATAGCTCTTCTAGCTATGAAATCGATAGTTCAGTCTCTCGAGGTCCCTGAGCCAGTAATAGTTATGCCGGACTCCTCAAAGGGTCCCCGTTCGAATAGGAGATCCTCCGGACCCTCAGTGGTCTAGGAAGAAGAAACAACAGTCTGCAGACTTCCTTCTTACCTGGTTTCAAGCTGTATTACCTAGAGAGACCTAGAGACCTCAACTCGTTCGGACCTTCTTCTCGACACGCTTACGTCTGCCCATGTGGCCCGGGATTCGCCGGACAACAGGGTATGCACACCTTGGGCCCACGCCGTGTACAACATCTCTTCTTCAGGTACCACGGGTGGATCACGGTGTGACGGGAATTCTCTTTCATCCACTTGATCCAATACTTCTTACGCTCGGGACCAACTCTCACGCGACCACCTGTCCCGCCGCCCGTTGGGCATATGGTCGGCCGCTTCAGCCCGCCCCACACGCCGCAGAGACCCGGGTCGACATGCGAGAGCGCCAAGACAACCACGGCTAGGAGGGGGCGTAGGGACCGCATCACCGATATGGAATTTGATCGGCGGCCAGTAGTGTGGTCCCGATGGTGTGTGTATGAAAATAGACGCCTGTGTCAAATTTATGGTTATGTGCCTATTTTTCTTTGTTGAAAAGAAGGTGTCTTGGAGCCAAGGCTTCAAAGTATTAAGGCAGGAATTTTTTCGAATTTTTGTATTGCTTGAATGTGTTGGAAGTGATCATTCTAAAGCTGGACGATAGAGGGGCGACTCCTCCTTATATAGACAATTTCGGATTGAAGAACTAAGTGACATATACTGTCGCGAAGCACGTCTGAGATCTTGAGCTCGGGGTGACCATAAGGGTATACAGCTAAGGGCCCCGACAGGCTAGACAGAGAGGCAGCCTGCAGAGAGTTCTGAGGCTGCAGAAGGCTATTAGGAGACCGCATTAGGCAGCCACATAGGCTGTAGAGAGACTGCATATACGGGGGAAGCTGAAAGAGCCCTCGGCGACTAGGGAAAAGTCAGTATGCAAAGGGGGGGCTGGGGAAAGGAGCCCAGCCTCCTAGATATTGTACCTATACAACTGAAAATGTCGGTAGGTCTCTACACAGGCCTGCGTGCAAATCGCAATGGTATGTGTAATCGTTGATGTCTGTTCTAGAAAGGGGGAAGAGGGGGCAAAGGGCACGGAGCTAGCTATGTGTCCTCCGCTATCCTCAACTGCACACGTGAGAGCGCACGTGACCTATCTAGATGGGTACAATGGATTACTACAATTCCCACAGAAAAGGGGATATCAATAGGGAACCAAGGGATATAAATAGGGGGCCTAGAAGAGGGCATTGCAAGAGGGACAGACACGACGGAATACAACAAAAACACACCCATTATTAAAACAATCAATGCCCACTTGCATGCTCTCTTCGTGAGATATACACTTGTACCCAGTACCATATTGAACCATATTGAATGACAAATACAGAGGTGAAATTCCCTGACCTTGTAAGTCATCCCGTTCCGAAGATATTTGGTTTCAAAGGTGGTTGGCTGTGTTTGAGGTTGTCGGCATCTAAGGTCTTCCATCTTGTTTTACTTGATTGATCGGGGTTTTTCGATTCCCGATCTCTACTTGATTTGGTATCCGATAATTGTCGAGAAGAAGGTATGAACGAGTTGACGTCTCTAGGTCTCTCTAGGTACCATACCCCACCCCCCTTTGGGTAACACCCCCCTTTGGGTAGCGCAATTGAAAAAATCTCCACCAAAAGTCTATCATTTGAACTTGTCACACAACAGGATGCACGGACAGTGTGGGTGACTGAGCAACGATCGGGAAGAAGATCCCCTGTGAATCGGGCAACGAAAGACTCTTGGTTTTTATCTAAATGAAAGACATATCTCTCTTATATACATGAGTAGAGAGACTAAGAGCAGCTGCTGCCTGCAGGCAGCAGCTTGGCTAGTGTGACTGCCTATTACGGTATACTATAAGTTACCTGAAAACGGGATATCAACTTGGGAGAAGCTTGGAGGGGATACAAAAGGGGCTGTTTGGACGGGAATAGGGCAACCGGGAGCAGAGCAATCATCACATGAATAAAACGGACTATCAGATCATTTGAGAATCTACTACGAAAAGTCCCCTCTATCAGGGTGGTTTTCCATATATGGAAAGGTGTGCAATCCATACTGGAGTATCGCCCCACATTTATTGCAAGTATTGCAATAGACCTTTCCATTCTTGGTCCGTGCGCATCCCGCAACAGCTCACCTACATGGTCTCGGCAAAACGTGCCAAACACGACATGAATCAATGAAAAAATCAAGGAACAGTTAACGTGAACGTAATGACAGACGACCGGTCAAGGGGATGCCAAGCAGAAATTTGCTCCTTTTGCAGGAAACAGGCGTAGAAGTTGAGCCAGGATTTTACCCAAAATCTGGGGACCCGCCACCACCCTCGGCCC